CTGCTGACAGCTCAGCCTCCCCAGGCCTCCACTTAACTCACTTTCGGTTTGCGCCCCTTGGGCTTGGGTGGGAAACAGGCAGCCTGGGAGAACTGCACCGTGGAGGAGGAGGGCGGGATGAGAGCTGCGCCAGTGTTCTGTTAAAACAAAAGATGCCATGGGCTGAAGAGAAACATTAATGGAGCCAAGGAAGAGGGGAAAAGCAGGGGGCAGACAAGAGGGAGACAGGCAAGCAGGGGGAGGGGGGGTGTCCAGGACGGGCAGAGGGAAGGTTAGGCTCCAGGGAGTGACGGCGCGCTGGCTGTCTCTCTCCACCTCCTTCTCTCCCTTCTCTCTCCCCATCCCCACAGGGGGAGTTAGGGAGGGAAGGAATATGAGAGATGAGGACAAAAGAGAAAGGGCCTCATATTTGTCAAGGGCCTGCTGTGTGCCTTCCCATCTCAGGGTACACACTCAAATACCAAAGTGGTGCCGACAGCTCCCAGCGGCCTGGGGCCCTGCAGAATGTGGGCCCAGCATACCCCAATCTTTCCAGTTTTCACAAAAAGCCAGAAATCCAGATTACCATGTGCTATCGCCTGACCTTTTTTTTTTCCTAAACTGCGGTGAAATGCACATAAAATTGACCATTTTAACTATTTTTAAGTGTACAGTTCAGTGACATTAAGTCGACTCCCATAGCTGGGTGAGCATCACCACCATCCAGCTCCAGAACGTTTTCACCTTGCAAAACCTGCTGAGGAACTTCGCTGGTGGTGCAGTGGTTAAGAATCCACCCGCCAATGCAGGGGACAGGGGTTCGAGCCCTGGTCCAGGAAGATTCCACATGCCGCGGAGCAACCAAGCCCATGCGCCACAACTACTGAGCCTGCGCTCTAGAGCCCACGTTCCACAACTACGGAAGCCCGTGTGCCTAGAGCCCATGCTCTAGAGCCCCGCTCAATGCAATTAGGGAAGGCCCACGTGCAGCAACAAAGACCCAACGCGGCCATAAATAAGTAAATAAATTGATTAATTAAATAAAACAAAACAAAACAAAAAGCTTCTGCTGACCTTTTAGTTGCTGGTAACACATTCAAAAATTTTAAAGCACAGAGAGGGTCAAATAGACCCAAGTGTGGCCCATTCAGGCTGTTCTGTGACCTCTGATGTGCATCGCCTCATTGAACTCACACAAGGACCTATGGGGTGGCAGAGACCCTGCTCCTTCCACAGGTGAGGAAACTGAGGCTGGGAGAGGCGAAGTCACTTGTCTAAGATCCCCCAGCCCATGAGAATGGCAGAGCTGGAGAGTTGAGCCGGATTCAGTTTGATTCCCAAGCCTCGGGTCTTTCTAGGACCACACGGCCTCCTAACCAGGGTGGGAATGACAGAGATGAGTGGCCTAGGGGCCCGGGAGACTGAAGCAGGTGTCCCAGACAGAGACAGCGACCACAAGAAGGACAGGACGGGGGAGCCAGAGGTGTGTCCCCAGAGCCACCTGGAAAGGAGACTGGCTGGCACATCGGGGCCCACGCAGCAGGGCCTGGGCACAGTGGACCGGGCCCTGCACCCAGCCCCTGGGGGCGGGTGCCGGGTGGACAGTCTGACCTGAAAGCTGATGTAGGACAGCTGCACGGCGCCTGTGACGCAGATGGTGTTGACGCGGTGGAAGGGCACGCGGTGTGCGTACTGCGTGAAGAGGTTCCTGTTCACCATCACCTGCCGAGATGAGTGCATGTTCCAGGAGGGGGTCCCTGGCTGGGTGGGAGCTCACCCAAGCTTTGGGGACCCCTGCTTCTAGAAGTTTAGACCTGTGTCTAGTTTTCACATCCATCCCCTGTAGGTCGGGGGCATCAGCCTTCAGAGCTGCGCCAGTTACAGGAACATGCTTGTGATCCAAAGTGCATCCAAACACAATCCCCATGTGGCTCTGGTTATTGGCTTTTTAATTCTTGCGGTTGTTTGTTTATTGCAGTAGGTTTGTCTTTCTAATCTTAGGTCACCTGGGGTGTTACTGAAATATGCATACAAATGTTCCTGGGGAGCAGAGGAGAGGTGACATCAGGCTGCATGTTGAGGGGTTGAGAACATCCATGTTCACACAGAGAGGCATAGACACAGATGTACTCACCCATTCTCCTGTCTCCCCAAGCCCAGAGACACTGCGCTGCTTGCAAAAGCAGTTTGCAATGCCCTGCAAAACTAAGCCATTAACAACACCTGGATAAAGGCTGCAACAATGTAACAAAAACAAATGTTACCAGGGACCTGGAGTGAAAGAAGGGCAGAGGAACGGAAATAATTTGGACTTTAAAGACCCAGGAGGCCAAAAAGCACCATGGTGACTTATCTAGTGCTTATTTCCGTAGTAAAAGAAGCAACAGGTGCACACGTAGATGCAGGTGAAGGTGCGTAAGGAGACTGCATCCTTACAAGGAAATGGCCCTCTTCTCGGCACACAGGTGTTGCTCGCGTGACTATTTAAATGCCATTCACTGCGCCTGATCAGGCTGGGGGACAGGCAGCCGAAGGGACAGGGACAAGAGGAGAGTTTCTGCTCACCTTGAACTCCGAGCTCTGTACCAGGAAGCAGAGCTCAAAGGGACAGCCCCTCTGGAAGGGCATTTGCATCTTCCTTTCCTCAGGCCCCCAGCTTCCTTTCTGCTTCGTGTTGCAGACCACATACCCGCCTTCTCCAAACCGAGGGTTGAAGTGGAAGGCAATGTCATTGTCATTGTGGCCGGTCTGAAAGTTCACAGCAAACCTAGGCCAAGGGAAATCAGACAGTGCTCTCGGTATCCTGGTTTACTGCCAAGGGTGGGAACAGGAGGGTCTCACGCCTTTGACTGACATCCATCTGGGATCCTGCCTACAACCCGCGTGGCTGGTTTGTACCCATCCTTAGTTGTTGCCATCTTTATTGCTCACCTGATTCGCACTTAGTATGTTTTCGTGCAGTTACCACATTTTGCCCTTACAGCGTGATTTTCTAAAAACAAGTAGAAAATGGGTAAAGAAATTTGTATCCAAGATGGAAGTCGAGTAATGTGCCTAGGAGTGAGAACCTTTTGCACCAAGTGGTCGCTCATCGGAGGCCAGCCCACGTCTGCTCAGTTGAGACAGAAGAGGACAAATGGAAAAAACACGTGACATTGATGGGACGCCTACAGAGATGGTGTCTAAAGGGGAGGCATAGAATAAACACTAGCTCTCCGGGCGTGGGGACCCCAGTGTGCGCGTCTGTCCCCCTGTAGAGGTTAGCGTGTGTCCACGTGACCTGAGTGAGGTCAGCAGGCCCGGTCCCAGACCCCAGCTCTTCACTGTTTGTCATTTGCAATGACCCCGCACTTCGCTACCCTCAAGCTGCCGCACCCTGGAAAGGGGGTGACTGCGTTCCTTCGAGGATGATTAACAAGGCGGCCAGGGGAAGCCCCCAAGCAAGCAACTCTGTTCCCATCTCTCCTCGGAGGAAGCCCCTCACCATCCCAGCTTCCTTTGGGTACAGCCTTGACTCTAAGGTGAGGACTGAAACAAAAGAATCTTCCGAGGGACCTGGCTCACAAAGTGGGCGCAATAAATGTTTGTTCTGCCTCTTGCCAGACGGAGCTCGCTCGTGTCCCCAAACCAAGTTCCAGTCTGAGGTTCTGAGGGTCTCCAGCGAGGAGTCTGTCTCTAACCGCCTTCCCTGAACTCAGCACCAGTGTGGTTTGCAGCCTGCCTCTCGGGGTCACTTTGGTCTCCCCAACAAACACACAGCAGTCAGAGAGCACACCTCGCTCCCATGTCATGCCCCACAGAGCCAGGCACTGCCCTGCACCCAAGGGTGGCCCTCGATGGACAGAGCCCCTACCTGCATAGCCCCTCCACTTTTTTTTTTTTGGCCGCACAGCTTGCAGCATCTTAGTTCCCCAACCAGGGATCAAGCCTGTGCCCCCTGCAGTGGAAGTGTGGAGTTCTGACCACTGGACCGCCAGGGAAGTCCCCAGAGCCCGTTACTGGAATCTGTCCTCAACACCGGAGCACTCTGTGAACCCTCAGCCAGCGGGGCCTGCGGGAAACTGGCCAGGCCCTGAGCCCAACCGCCCTCCCTCTGGGAATACCAAAGGGAAAGGAAGCTCCAAGTGACTCTGGAATGAGAAAATCTAAGTCCCTATTCCTCTTAAAGTGGAGAATAGTGTTTCTGAAATATCTCTGGGTGTAGTTTTCTCTTTGCGGTCGTCCAGCTTCATTCCTGTGTTCCTTTGAGAATTCCTGCCCCAGGGAAGGGAGAGAGCAAAAGCTCCCATCGGAAGGGGGACCCTTGGAGGTAGGGAGAGATTCTATTAGACAGGGTGGGAGTAGAAAGCCCTCCTGCGCTGGGAGAAAGGGTAGGCAGAGGAAGGGGGAGAGAGAAAGCAATGGAAGTTCAGAGTCGAGGTCTGGGACTCCCATGCTGGCAGAGTTTTTGGGGGATCTGGGTGCCTCACTTCCCTCCGAGTCCCCTGGGGGCACTCAGGGCTCTCAAAGTCCCATGGTCAGTGTGGCCGTGTCCACCTGGAGGGAAAGCAATGGCAGAGGAAGTCATCTAGAATCTAGATGCAGGGGTAGGGCTGGGCCTGGGAGGGGCCTGAAGGGATCCAGGAGGTCCCCAGGCCCCATGCAAAGTGATGAGAGGAAACGTAGGGGCAGAAGCCAGCTGGGATTGGGCCAGAGAGGCTTCTGAGAGAGGGCCACGCGTCCAGAGGGGCCTCCGTGGGCGCTGTGGACCTCAGGGTGCAGCCCACGTGGACCCCACCGAAACTGGCCATGGGCCCCAGGCCTCCGAGCCACCCGGACCTCCGCAGAGGTCAGCCAGGGCTGCGTGAGCATCCGAGGACCCTCCTGCCTCTGAGAATACGTGCAAGCTCTTCTCTTGGGAAGCCCCCTTGGGAGCTAGGAGGAGTGCTGGAAAGAGCGCTAAGATGTTTGTTTTTTGAATTGACTTAGCATTTTCCAGAAAAGAGCTTGAAACTGAAAGAGACCAAATTACAACTTTGATGGCAAGTTTAACTATTTCCACGTCAGACCAAGTGAGGGTTCCGAGGTAGATGAGGGCAGCTATAGGAAATGAAGGAAGGTGATGTTTTTGCAACTCTGGGTCATCGCATACAATGCTCAGTCCTAGAACTTCTGCCTCTGGGCTGGCCTGCTTCCCTCCTTAGACTGGGAGCTCTCATTGGCCCCTCCCCCGTCTTTGGGGAGTCTGGTTAACGGTGCCCTGGGCGCTACTGGCAGATGGCAGGAGTGCCGTGCATTGTTGGCAGGGGCCGGGCCCTTCTCGTCCCCTGAGCCAGGTGCGGGCAGCTCGAAGGATGCTGGGTGGACCAACCTGAGCTGAGAGCGCCCTGGTTCGCCCAGGGGCAAGGCTGCGAGAAACAACAATTCCAGGTACCTGTCTCCGTTGGAATATATAACGGTCCCATTGATGGTGATCTGAAGTCCGTCCTGGAGACCCCCTTGGATTATCCCAGTGAAGGGGATGACCTGAGGGAGGAGACAGTGGTCAGCGGGCCGGCCTGCTTCTCTCCATCCCCTTCAGCACTTGCTGGGGGCTGGCCTGGGTGTCGGGCCCTGGGCTAGGGGCCAGGTGCAGCTGTGAGCAGGACAGATTGAGGCTCTGCCCCACGGACCTTCCAGGCCTGCAGCGAGGAAGTTACACAGACGTTCTGAGGTTGTGAGAAGGAGATCTCTCAGGCTCTGAGAGGATGTGACAGGGACCGTGTGACAGCTGCTAAGAGGAGGAATTGGCATGTGCACAGCCCTTAGATGGGAAGGAACCAGGGGAGTGAGGAGGGGGCTGCTGGACCCCAGGCCAGGTTCCTAGCAAAGTCCCCTGGCTGGGGACTCAGGGGGGCCCAAGGGACCAAAGAGACCCACCAACCTGTTCTCGAGGATAAACCTTCTGCTCACCTGAGCAGGCCAAGAAGAAGGCATCCTCCCCTCTCCTGCCCACCCCACCTCGAGAACAGTGGTGACCATGACCTTTGCCCTCCACCGCCTCAGAAAGTGCCTCTTCCCGGGTGCTCTCTGCAACCACGGGGCAGCCCCCTCTTCTATTCCTGCTCCTGAGCTCGCACTCCTTCCCCCAGGCCCTTGGCATCCTCCAAAATCCTAATGTGACATCTCCACCCCTCCTGGGCCCCATGACTTTGTCACATTCTCTTTCCTGAGCCTCTATAAAGGATCCATGGTTACGGTGAGGGATGCCTCATTTTAGAGCCAGACATACTCCAGATTTAAATCCTAATTTAGCTCCTTGTTACCTTAGCGGCCTTGGGAAGTTTATTTAACTTCTCTTTGCCTCAATTTCCTCATCTGTGAAATAGAGATAAGTCCCACCTTCTGAGTGAAATTGATGATTGAGTGACAAAAAGTCTGTGGAAGAGACTGGTACATAGTAGGTTATCTCTCTCCTGCCCCTCTGCTTCCTTCCACCTTGGTGTCTCTAATCAAAATTCCTAAATTGCTTATGTCTCAACTTTCAAAGCTTCCTTCCTGAATGCCTTTTATCTAATGTGTTTCTACAAACTGCCTTAAACACAGTTCTATCTCCTAGTCAATTTTCACATTTTTCAAGTCATTCAAGTCTTTTCTACCTTCTCCTTTAAGTCAATTCCTTACAAAAATTAAATGTGTGGGAAGAGATATGGGGACATATGTATAACTGATTCACTTTGTTATAAAGCAGAAACTAACACACCACTGTAAGGTAATTATACTCCAATAAAGATGTTAAAAAAAAAATTAAATGTGTACAGGAGCCAGGCAGGTGATGTGTATAGGTGAGCTGGCCAGGTAGAGTACAATAGGGAGCGGTAGGGACTGAGGCAAAGTAGACATCATCTTCCTTATCTAAAGAGGCAGTGTTCACTCAGCTGTAACCAGTGATTACCATCCAGGTCCAGTGTTGGCAGAGCTTCCAAGTCTTTAGGAGAAGACCAACATCTGGAATTTTTTTTCTGTAAAACTTTCTAATTTCTGGGGGGAAAATCCTTTAAAAAGGATTATAGAAGTGTTCCTTTGTTATAGAGACATATAATGAAATATTTGCAATGAAATGATATATCTAGATTTGCTTCAAAATAATCCAGGAGTGGAAAGGGAAGCAGGGTTGGGTAGAGATGAAGCAAGATAGGTCATGAGTTGAAACTGAATGACGGGTATGTGTTGTTTATGATACTATTCTCTCTAACTTTGCTTGAGCAACGAGTTAAAATAAACATTCTGCAGGCAAACAAAAAACACCCATCAGCCCAGTTCAGTCCTAGCCTATGTCCTTGAGTTGTGCAACCACTCAGAATCCAGAGAAACCCCTCCTAACTCATGTGCACAGCTCGCCCCGGGAGATAACCTGTAACACCAGGATCCCATTCAGACAGACTCTGCTCTCCATGGGCCTTTGGGAAAGGTGTCTTTTGTGGCAACTCAGGTTAGGTCTGAACTCTGCCATTAAATACTTCAGTGACCTTAAGCAAATCATGGCTTCTGTACATCTCTGAGTTCTTTCTGTTGTCTCTGTCCATGCCAGTGAGTTTGAAGAACTAGAATCAGCCTGACGCAGTTATAGACCAGCATGCCGCACTTCCTGGAAAAAGAACCCCCTCATTTGTTTGTTGAAGCCTGAAGTTCTCTCAAGAGCCTTTCACACCGTCATGACAGGGCTTAAAATGCATACTCCTGGCAAGTATGGGCCCTTCCCTTAAGCAGGGCTTAAAATGCATACTCCTGGCAAGTATGGGCCCTTCCCTTAAGCAGGTTCACACTAAGGTGTAGAAAACTGAAAGCAGAGTGTGTTGGGCTGGGGTCATCAGGGCACAGGAGGAGGCAGAATGGAAGAAGCCGTGTGTGGACAATGGGGGCGGGCAGTACAGGTTAATCTTAAGGAAGGGTTTCCCCCAAGAAAAGCTTTGTGAGATTTTGTTGTCTTAAATGGTGCCCTCAAATTCTGAAACACAAGATTATTTCAAATTGAGTATAATCCTAAAGATTATACTCCTAAAGATTATTCACTGCCACATTATAATTGCAAAACATTGGAAAGAGTCCAAAAGTCCGCCAAGAAGAAAATGGTGAAATTAATTACGGTATTTCCATACAATGGATTCTATGGAGGCTTAACACGAAGAGAAGAGGCAGAAGAGGGGACTTTGAGAACTGATACGGAATGATGCCACGTGTGTTATTTAAAAAATAGGCTGGGGAGGCTATATACATATATTTACTTACCATGAATAAAACATTTCTGGAAGGATTCAAAGAAACTGCTAACATCGGTTGACTCCAATGAGGGTATGGTAGACTGAATGATTACCACCCTCCCCTCTGTCCCACCAAAAATGTCTACATTCTAATCCCTGGAAGTTGTGAATATGTTGCTTTACATGGCAAAAGGGATTTTGCATATGGAGGTTATCCTGGATTAGCCAGGTGGGCCCAGTGTAGTCACAGGGACCTCAAAGAGGGAGGCAGAAGAGGAGAATTGGTAGTAGGAGATGTGACAACAGAAGCAAGAAGCAAGCGGCTGGCTTTAAAGGAGGAGGAAGGGGCCACAAGCCAACGCAAGCAGGCAGCCTCTGGAAGCTGGAAAAGGCAAGGAAACATTCCCGGACTTCCCTGGTGGTGCAGTGGTTAAGAATCCGCCTGCCGATGCAGGGGACCCGGGTTCGGGCCCTGGTCTGGGAAGATCCCACATGCTGAGGAGCAACGAAGCCCGTGCGCCGCAACTACTGAGCCCACATGCCACAACTACTAAAGCCTGCGTGCTCTAGGGCCTGTGCTCCACAACAAGAGAAGCCACCGCAGTGAGAAGCCCGTGCACCGAGAAGCCTATGCACCGCAACGAAAAGTAGCCCCCGGCTCACAGCAACTAGAGAAAGCCCACGCGCAGCAACAAAGACCCAATGCAGCCAAAAAAATTAAAAATTAAAAATAAATTAAAAATAAAATGGAACAACCACTAAAAAAAAAAAAAGATGAAAACATTTGAGAGTCAACAGTTGCAGAAAAAAAGGAAACATTCTCCCCTGAAGCCTCCAAAAGGAAATAGCCTTGCTGACACTTGGATTTTAGACTTCTGACCTCCAGAACTGTAAGAGAATAAATTTGTATTGTTTTAAGCCTGGCTGGCCAAGGACCCCTCCGTGTATTTATGTGTGTGTGTGTGTGTGTGTGTGTGTGTGTGTGTGACCTTAGCAGGAAACAGCAGCACCTGCTTTTGCTTTGTATGACTTAGGAGGATGGATGTTTATGCTGTATTTATGGTCCCACAGCTTGGGCTCGCCTTCCAGCTTCCTGTGCTGGCCGCTCTGATGTTGAGCAAATCACGTGACCTGCCTGCACCCCAATTCCCTCCCCGGAACAGTGAGACAATAGCATTGCCAGCCTGGCAGTGTGCTTAAGAGGATTAGGTGAAAGGCTAAGTGGGAAGCCCTTGGCTGGAAGGCCTTGACAATAGCAGCTGTCTGCATAAGGATGACTTAATCTTTCTGCTGGGTCAGAACTTGCTCTCAGCTCTGGGCTGTGCCTGGAGGCTGAGGATTTTTTCCTCCTCTTCCTATCCAGTCCGGAAAGCAGAGTCAGGCCCTACAGGCCAGAGGGTGGGCAGCCCCCTTCTGGACGCCCAGTGTCACAGAGGCCACCCAACCACAGCTGGCACAGGGGGCTCACCCAGAGGGGGCAGCTTTTAGCCAAAGGGACTGCCGCCCTTCTGGTGGCCAACCTTCCCCGTCTGTGTTATCTTGTTAACCTCACAACAACCCTGGTCATTACGAGTGCCACATTTACAGATGAGAAAACAGGCACAGGAAGGTTGCATAACTTGCCCAAAGCCACACAGCTGGGCAGAGACAGAGCTGGGTTTGAACCCCAGCACCCATGCTTTTAACCACCACACGGTCTGCTTCTCACGATGAAGCCCAGAACATCCTCGCTCCTGGCTCACCGAGAGTTCGCCTGGACCAAACAGCGAGTCCTGTCCTGACTGTGACACCAGCTGCCCTCCTGGCCCTCTGGGGGCTGGGCCAGATGAGGCCGGCGGGGTGTGGGCGAGGAATGGGGGGGGCTCCAGAGGCAGGTCCTGGAGGCGTGGCCTCCTCAGCAGACAAGCCGGGCAGAGGACCTTCCCACTGCATTTTGGAGGAAGTGAGGTCCCAGGTACTCAGGTCAATGGGTGGCCTGGGAGAGGGTGGCTACGTAGGCTGGACGGTGCTCCGGGTGCCTGTGAGGCCTGCACCCAGCCTCTTTCTGGTCTGGACTTCCAAGGCCCTGTTTTGACTCTCTGCTGCCATAGAAGGAGTTTCCTTCTGATTTGAAATCTTTGGCTTTTGAATCTAAGGGTTAAAAAGTAAAAACACGTCACCAGAATAATAAAACGTCAGGGCCTGGAAGGGACTGCGGGTCGCCCATCTGATGGAGCAAGAGACCCAGGTGACACGTTCTGGCCCCGAGGCCACGGTGGAGGCACCCACCGGGCAGCCCAGTTTCCTCCAGCCCCACCCTGGGAGCCCTCACGAGATGGACGGAGGGGCACTTGGACACTGCCCAGAGCAAACAGGCCACGCCGGGGCCCCTGCAGAGGCGGTCTTGGCCTGTTTGCCGCCCAGCAGCTCCCCAGCACCTATTTTCACCCACCCACGCTCCCCACGAAGGGCTCGGTCAGCCCACCTGCCGGCCTTTTGGGAAGCAGAGGCCGGGAGAGGCTCCTGCTGCAGGGTCTGGCCCAGGACATAGTGACCACAGAATTCTCCTGGGCCTGGGCTGCCGCCTGCAGGCCCACGTCCTCCCGCAGTGCTCTCTCTGGGGCACCTCCTTCCTCGGGGGTTGCGGGGGGGAAATCAAGACACCTCCCTCCTCGGCCACTTACCATCTGGGGACATTTGACAAATGGCCGCCACCTCTCTGAGCCTCAGTTTTCCATGTATGACATGGGGATGATGAGGGTTTAAAAAGGCTGCCCGCTACAGGGGCTCCCCAGAGAAGGCAAAAAGGCACAGAAAGCAGCCCTTTGCGTCCCACAGTGCAGGGGCAGCCCCGCTCCCCGCCTAACTCCAGAGATGGTCCCTCTCAGACAGGCTTGACCTGCCCTGCTTTGTTCACTCACCCCTCAGGGAGCAGACACCTCCTTGGGAGGCCTTCCCTGCTGCCCCCAGACTCGTAACAATTCTAAACACTTCCAGAGCACCCACAGTGGGCCAGACACCATTCAAGCTCTCTTGACGTGCTGCCTCACTTAATCCTTACCTCAGCCCTGGGCAGTGACTTAAGGATTATCCCCATTATACAGATGCAGAAACGGAGGCTCAGAGAGGTAAAGTAACTTGCTTGAGGTCACCCAGCTAGTAAATGGCTGACCCCAGAGAGGACATCTTCAAAGTAAATGCCCTTCACTGCCATGCTGGGTTGTTAATCTCCCCAGAAGCCCTGTTTACTTCTCCCTTCATGCAAAAAACCCCATCACTTTTCTAGTTCTTACTTAGGCCCTTCTTTCCCCCACTGAGCACCTAGAGCAGGAGAGGCACCCGGAGAGAGCTCAGTAAGCGTTTGTCAGACGCACAAATCCCGGTGATGCTCACCCCCTCCAGCCCTGAACAGCACCAGGGAGACGGGCGCGGAGCAGAAGTTGTGTCAGGGTTGCCCCAGCTGGCATTTCTGCCCTTGTGGTGTTCTCTTTGGGATGCCACCCCCTTCCACCTGCAAGAGCTGCTCCCTCAGAGCCCCACCGCTGTTTCCCCCTGGCTGAGGCTACCCACAGCCCCGGAACTCACTGGGCTCAGGTAGGGAGGCTGGGCGCCGCCGAAGGCCATCTCTCCACCGTCACCGTGGACCCTGACAGGGCAGTCCTCTGCACTGGGGAGGACTTAACAAAGAAATAGAAACCAAAACAATTTGGCAGTTATTCAATGGGGAGGAGCCAGGAGAAAGAGGAAGTGCGTTTAGAGAAAGGGAGAAAGATAGTTTGCAGAGGGAGGAGGGTGGAGGATGATACATGGGAGAGGGAGGTGGGTGATCCTCACCCCGTGCCCCTTCCCTCCACTGTCCTCCTGCGCTCCACCCATGACCGAATAGTTCACAGAGGTTCGTGTAGGCTCAGAGATCCTGACCACATTCACACTGCAGTGAGCTACTAGACGACACTGCCCGTGAGCGTGTGGCTGTGTCATGAGTGTCCAGACAACAACAGTGCTGCCTGTGCACGGGTTGGTGGTGGAGCTGGGAAAGCCTGGTTATACCCATTTTCCAGACAGAGAAACTGAGGCTCAGAGAGTCTTAACGGTCATGCCCAAGGTCACACAGCTCACTAGTGGTATCCTGAGCCATATGAGGCTACTTAGGTTCTCAAAAAGGTATTCTTCCCCTTTAAAATTCTATTTCTCATATAAAAACATAATCACGTAGCGACTTCCCTGGTGGTCCAGTGGTTAGGACGCTGCTCTTCCACTGCAGGGGGCATGGGTTCGATCCCTGGCTGGGGAATCCTGCATGCGTATTCTTCCCCTTTAAAATTCTATTTCTCATATAAAAACATAATCACGTAGCGACTTCCCTGGTGGTCCAGTGGTTAGGACGCTGCTCTTCCACTGCAGGGGGCATGGGTTCGATCCCTGGCTGGGGAATGAAGATCCTGCATGCCGCCAGCACGCCAAAAAAAAAAAAAAAAATCAGGACTTCCCTGGTGGTCCAGTGGGTAAGATTCTGTGCTCCTAATGCAGGGGGCCTGGGTTCAATCCCTGGTCAGGGAACTAGATCCTGCATGCATGCCACAACTAAGAGTTCGCATGCTGCAACTAAAAGATCCTGTGTACCGCAACTAAGAAACGGTGCAGCAAATAAATAAATAAATAAATCTTTAAAAAAGAATCATAATCATGTAGAAAGAAATGTTTTGCAAATAGAAAACCTCGTAGTGGAGTTACCTTATCCTTATGTATAATGATGCCCTGGGAGCTTCTGATCCCTCCTCTCTATGAATTTCTCCCTTCTCTTCTCTCCCTTGATTCTAAGCTTTAGAATGGGGAGTGGAGAAGTCTTGGACATAACAGAACATTCCAAGTGACATGGAGGTGGGGGCAATATATTGAATAAACTGTCTTTAATTGGCTCCAGCACCTTATTAAAGGAAATGATTGACTGAAACAGAGACTCAGGATCAGCTGGGTCGGGGAGGGGGGCAGGGAGGAAAGACATAGTGACAATAGACTTACCTGAAGTCAAGCAGGTTCTCACCACGTGCTAGAGACAGGGCCCCGCGGTCAAGCCTGGATGATCAGCTAAGGGTCCTACAGGCACCGCGTGGGTAGCAGGTGCCCTGGGGCTGTGCACGTGTCTGCACCTCTCTCCCTTATTGTGCTTGCCTGAGTGCCCCAGAATTTGCAAAGACTGACTTCTTTGAGACGTTCCCATAGACTGAGGCCACATGCCTCCTCCGTCTACCCTCCATCCGCACTAGATGCCTGGAATTTGACCGGATTTAAGGGACAGATGGCACAGTTGGAGCAGAAAGGAGGAAGAGAAGGGGAAATTCTTTGCAATCCTCTTCGACACCAGGGACATGGGGACCGTTTCCTCATTAACTGGGATAGGGAGCAACTGGAACTCTCATTCATTGCAGGTGGGAGTGTAAAATACTACAGCGTTGGAAACAGTGGATCGTACATAGTAAAGTCGAACATCTATCCCTCCTGTGTCCCAGCTTTTCTGCTCCTAGATATTTATCCAAGAGATGTGAGAATATGTGCACGTGTGCACAACAGCTTTACTCATCATAACCCAGCACTGGAAAAAACACAAATGTTCACCAGCAGGAGAAAGGAAAAACGAATGGTGATATGCCTACAATGGACCAGACCTCAGTGATACAAAGGGACCACAGACACAGGCAAGGTCATCAGTGAGCCTCACATTTGAGCAGAGCCAGACACAAGTGAGCACAGGCTGGGAGGATTCTGATTACATAAAATCCAATGACAGGGGCTTCCCTGGTGGCGCAGTGGTTGAGAGTCCGCCTGCCGATGCAGGGGACACGGGTTCGTGCCCCGGTCTGGGAAGGTCCCACATGCCGTGGAGCGGCTGGGCCCGTGAGCCATGGCCGCTGAGCCTGCGCGTCCGGAGCCTGTGCTCCGCAACGGGAGAGGCCCCAACAGTGAGAGGCCCGCGTACCGCATAAAAAAAAAAAAAAAAGAATTGAAAGCAGGGACTTGAAGAGATATTTGTACACCCGTAGTCATGGTATTATTTACAATAGCCAAGAGATAGAAGCAACCCAAGTGTCCATCGACGCATGACTAGGTAAACAGTATGTGGTCTCTACATACAATGCAATATTATTGAGCCTTAAAGAGGAAGGGAATTCTGACACAGGTTACAACATGGATGTTGAGGAAGGAAGAAATTTTCCTCTACCCTTCTATGTTCTTCTGGCTGGTCTAAGAATTAAATTGCCATGAGACAGACTAACAGAGGCCACATCAGTGAGAGGCCCGCGGACTGCAAAAAAAAAAAAAAAAAAAAAAAAAAAAACCACCTTCAGCTAAAGACAGAAGAGGGTGTTGAGGGTAAATGTTTGGCAAATAAATGGTTGCTGGGCATAGAGCGGACTCTGATCTCTAGGCCCTGCCGGGTTTCCCTCACCTCACCTAGTCCGTGTTCTTCTGCAGATATCACTGGTCACGGCTCTTTTCCTGGAACAGGCCCTTTTTCTACAAACTTTGTGGCAGCTGAGGGGTGGTAACAAAAACTTTGCATCTTATGTTTCTTAAAAAAGAATCAGCCTAAATGAATCCTCATGCCAAAGTGACACATTTGGGGTGGCAAATATTGTTCCTCAGCGGCTCTCTAAACTTCAGTGGTTCCTCATCTGTGAGATGTAGCTGATAAGAGAACTTATTTTACATGGTTGTTGTGAGCATTGAATGAGCTAAGGCTTGTAAGGCACTTAGTCAATGCCTGGCACACAATGAGCGCTCCATAGACTCCATCTGTGTCCTCGCGTATCTGACCTGCATGTGGTGAGGCCCTGAGAGAATTCAGAGAGGAGGTGGCCCTTGTGCAGGGTTGTGAAGGGTCGGTGGTATCCCTTCCATGGGTGGCAGGGGTAAGGAATAGAAGAACTTGCAGCCCCATGGAATGCAGCGCACTCAACGTCACTGTTTGGTCACACTCCCTCCTTGGGGAAGCCATGTGAGCAAACATTTAGCACCAGACGTGCAAAGGACCAGTGTCGTATCAGCTGATTAACCAAACACACAGCTGCTTTTGCCTTCAGTGTTTGTGTGACTAGCCTGGGACCAGCCTTACTTCCCGATTTCCTTTAAACAAACTTATATGCATTTATTTAAAAAGCAAACTTTATCTTATGATCATAAATGAAAACCATTACCACTTCCATAAATAAAAACTACTGGTGGCTGAAATGGGTGACGGTGGTCATGTGAATTTGGTGCTATATTCGAAACGTAGCAGTTGACAAATACCGCGAACATCACAAAATCCAGGAAAATAATATTTTTATTAATTAATATCTTGGCACCATAATACTTTCTGACTTTTGGGCCGCATACTCTCATACTCTTTGCTTTTTCATGTGATGAAGATCTGACATGTTTTCTACAGAGAATGTAGAAAGATCATTCTGTCTTTCCAACGACTTTCTCTTCTCCACTTTGGGTCCCAGGCAACACGGGACAAATTCCTTTGTGACAGACCTCAGGCCCTGCCTCTTTGTACTGGACCCAGGTGAGTTGGCACAATGCGCAAGAGTGTTCCAGAAGCCACTTCTAAGCCGGGACAGCTGGGAAAAACTGGATTATTCATGGAATAATTTTATTTGCACCTTTGTAGACATTAGATTCTAGTGCTGTTAACTGTCTTCGAGGTTTTGTCATATACCTGTAAACTGGACTGGGTCCTGAATTCTTCTAGTTTCTTCAAACATCTGGCTATGACTCAACAAATTAACATTCCCAGTGGTCTTCCACCATCTGATTTAGAGTCACTAAGAGCAAAGACTGCCCTTAAATCTCCTAGGAAGGGACTGTACCAGGTCCTCCCAACCATGCTGACGGTAGTCAAGCCCCAGGGACCCGAACCTTGGATATACCTCTCACAACAGAAGAAGACCCACCTAACACCTGGTCCTGTACAAGGGCTGGAGACCTCCGAATCAGACTGATGAAAAAGAGAAGCCGCTGACATTCAGGAAGACAGCTTCTGCCCGAGATGATCGATCGAGACTCTTCATACTTTAACTAAACATGAAACCCTATCTCCTTGTTTTCCTCTGGCATTGACCTGGAAAGATAATGCCCTCATCTGTATCCCCCAAGCCACTGCTAAGGAAGGTAATCTTTCAATTGAGTTTATCACCAGTTTCCAATCTATCTATAACTATCTAGATCGGATTTGCCTTCACTAAGAGCTTGTCTGGGTGCAGTAAAGCCCATCTACTGACACCGGGTTGTGGTGAACGAAAGCATTTACTGCAGGGCACCAAGCAAGGAGACCAGGCAGCTGGTGCTTAAAAAACCCGAACTCCCCAATGGCTTTCAGGGAAAGGATTTTAAAGACAGGATAAGGGAGAGGGTTGCAGTGTGTGTGATCAGCTCACGGACATCTTCTGATTGGCTGGTGGCGAGGTAATCGGGAGTCAACATCATCAACCTTCTGGTTCCAACCAGTCTGGCGTCTACGTGCTTGTGGGCAGCATACAGTGAAGTTCTTCCACCTCGTGCAGGTTTCAATGTCTGCAAAACAGCTCAAAGGATATGGCTCAGAATATTCTCTATAGCCCTTGAGGAGGAATTAAAGGTCCT